CACGAAGCCCTAAACCCCTGAACCCTGTGTACCCTAAACCCTAAAATAAAACCCCATGCCTATACCTTATAAACCCTCAACTCAAACCCAATACGCTAAACCCTAAACTCTAACTCCATACCCTAAACCCGAAACCTCATCCCTAGATCTACTTGCCCCCCAAGGCCTGGCCTGTCCTGGATTTTATAGTAAAATTATAACAAGGAACNNAACCCAAGGAATATTCTTGGTAATTCTTCCGGCCTCGATAGTGAGCCTTGCACACTCTGCCCTAAAACTCCACGACGGAAAACCGATCGAGCACAGAATGAGGATCCTACTATCTATTAGGGTTTAGGGTTTAGCGTAGGTTTAGGGCCCCTTGCTTCTGAAACACCAAGCATGGAGTGCTAATATCTCTGAGGCACAGTCGGCATGTCACTGAAGTTCAGACGGGCTTGAGCTTATATAGATTGGCGCCACAACGCTGACCGGAAGTATACAAATACCAACTCACAGCCGACCACCTCACACCCTTGCGATCGAAACCCAAACCAAAATTGCCTACCATGTTTTTGACAGGGCAAACGCTGACATAACACAGCAAAGCAATATGATGAGGAGAAGGGCTAGAGTAAAACCTGACTACATGTGAACATATCAAACACACGAATGCTTCAAGCTGTCACTGCCTCCGTCACAGACCCGATCTGGTTCACCTTTCGGCATTCGGTGTTGAGATTAGGTTGATAGCGTTTCTTGGCTTCCGGTTCCGGAGATACCAGATAAAAGGAGTTTAGAAACGAAGGACTCTGGGATGTCATAAACCCTAAACGAGGTGCCTCATCTGATGGCTTTTGGATTGGCTTTTGGATTAAGCTCCACCTTCTCGTTGGGGGTTTAGGGTTTAGGGTCAAGGGGCTTCGTTTACGAGCTCGAGGAAACTACGGTCAAGGGACTGAGGGTTCGGGTGGACTTTGCGTCACGGGGCCGACTCGGGGGTGAAGGGTTTAGGGTTTGGGGG